AGGTGCCACAGGACTCCTGGTTGGTTTTGCAGATACAGGCTAACTCAGCTATCCCTCTGAGACTCTTACTCCACAGACATTAATGTTGGTCACTTTCACCAACCAAAAAGTTATTTTCTACCCTGTATCCTCTTCCTTTTTTTTTTTGAAGATTTGTAGATTCCAAGGTCATCTTGTCTTACCTTGTATAGCATATACTACTAAACTTTCCAAAAATACTCTCTAGACCAGTGGTTCTTAACCTGGGGTGCACGCGCTCCCTGGAGGTGCGAGACGCCCTTTCTGGGGGTGTGAGACATGCCAGATTTTTATGATATATCTTAGGTTTAAAACTGACCTACTTCAATGATTTTTTAATAAGGGGTGCGAGAACATATTTGAGAACCATATTTGCAGTACGGTTAAGAATCACTACTCTAGACCTTATATTTTAGAAAAATATCCAGTATTGATTTTAAAGGTGTAAGCAATTCAGAATCTATTGCAGCCCTTGGTAAATTGTTCTAGTGGTTAATTAATTACTCTCTTTTTATTAAAAATGTGTGCTTTGAAAGATGTCCTTGCTGTAAATTGCCCTAGTGTTCCCCACTAAAGTAATTGACGCTTGTAGGAATGGATGCATTATAAGTGCTCCCATTCCCAGCTCTTAAGTCGCATGCAAAAAAAAAAAAAAATTGTGCAAATGGAAATCAGCTGTGGGGGGGGAAATCCCCGCTTTAAGTTGTTTCGCTATCAGTCCAAGTTTTTTGTAACGTATCTTGGACTTTTACCAAAGGCGGCCTTTCCTTCTAGTCTCAATTTGACTATTTTCAGCTGCCTGCCACTGGATCATGTTATATTTTTCTCTGCTAGATTGAAGATCTCATTATTAAGTATTTGTTTTCTATGTAGACACTTAGACCGTAATTGTCACACCTTAAAATTGTCTTTCTCAAGCTAAATAGATTGAGATTTTTTTAAGTCTGACACTGAGGTATGTTTTCTAATCCTTCAGTTATTTTTGTGTTTCTTCTATGAACTCTCTCCAACTTATCTATCTTTTGATGATTTTGTTTTTCTTTTAGGTTGTTAAATAGCTCAAGTCCAAAACCCAATAATTTTTGCAGGCCCCAACTGGAGAATAACATCCATTTGATGATGATTCCCCATTTATAATTACATTTTGAAACTTCAATCAGCCAGATTTTAATCTCATTTCATGTGTGCCATATTAATTTTGTCTTCTAGTTTTTAAACAAAATTTAATGCAGTACCAAGTAAAATATCTTATGGAAGTCTCTGTATATTACATCAACATAGTTATCTTTATCAATCAAACTTGTAATCTCAGTTTTAAAAAATGTTAGTTTAACTGGATCTGTTTTCCACAAACCCATGTGAATTGGCATTTGCAGAAAACTACTCACTGAGGGGCTGACAGCATCCAAGGTCCCCCAGGCAAGATGTGGAGCCATGCAGCCAGCCCTCATTCTGTGCCCCCTCTTATCTGTCCTATGTCCCAAGGGTGCCAGGTGCATCCATCGCCAAGCTTGTGTTGGGTGATCCACCCACACAGGCAGCAGCCGGACAGCAAACACCCACCACCCCAGGGATGAAGCTGGCTCCCCAACTAAAAAGGCAGGATATGGGGTGACCTAAAGGTAGGGAGATGGGGGTGGGCTCTAGAGTGGACAAAGGGATAGGGTCCCCCCCCCTCCAGTGCCTGGGACCCCACAACCTCCTTTAATTTCCCTCCTTTAATTCTGAGTCGTGCATAAGCCTCTTGATTTTTTTCTGGCCCCGGATCGATGTCAGACCTGTAATTACCCAGGTCATCCTGTTCATCCTTTTAAAATATTGCTATAAGATTAGCTTTCTTCTGGAATTTCTCCTGTGTTCCAAGACTTCTTATTGAAAATCAACATTAATGGTCTAGCAAGTTTCTTAGCCAGCTCTTTTAAAACTCATAGGTGCAAGTTATCAGGATCTCCCAATTTAAACATTTTTTTTACTTAGTAGCTGCTGTTTTACATTATCCTAAGATACTGGTAGAATGGAAAGAATGGCATGTCTACAACTATCTGGTTAAAAATAGAACAGAAGTATTTATTGAACACTTCTGCCTTTTTGCATTATTAGTGGTAATTTTAAACCTTCCATCTAGTAATGGACAAGTACTATTGTTAGGATTCTTTTTGTTCCTAATTGTTTTTAAAAACTCATGATGTTGAATTCTGGCGATAGATTTCTTCTTGTTTCCCTCTGCTTTCCTATCGATTTTCTACAAGTTCTAGCTTCTGATGTTATATATAAATGAATTACAATCTCTCTCTCTCTCTCTCTGTGTGTGTGTGTGTGTGTGTGTGTGTGTGTGTGTGTGTGTGTGTGTGTGTATAATATATAATTGTATAAATAACTGATGCTGTCACATACCCCTCTAAGCCAGGTCTTTTTGCTCTCTGACCCCAACAAACACAATCTTCCTCACTGAAACAAAAACAGAACTATGTAGCACTTTAAAGACTAACAAGATGGTTTAATAGGTGATGAGCTTTTGTGGGCCAGCCCCACTTCCTCAGATCAAATAGTGGAAGAAAATTGTCACAACCAAAATTGTGTTGACAATTTTCTTCTACTATTTGATCTGAGGAAGTGGGGCTGGCCCACAAAAGCTCATCACCTATTAAACCATCTTGTTAGTCTTTAAAATGCTACATAGTCCTGTTTTTTGTTTCAGCTACATCAGACTAACACGGCTACATTTCTATCAGTCTTCCTCCCTGTGGGTTTTGGGGGCATCTAGTAAAGGGTTTGGGTTTTTTCACATTTTTTTCAGATTAAATTTTTCCTCCCAGTCTTTAATACTAGTCTTTGGGTGCTAGAAGCTTGTTGGCCACTCTTAAGAAAAAATATAGAATGTGCATCCCTACACTTAAAGCCATTTTGTTGCTGCAGACATCTTACTGTATAATGACTTCAGAAAAGCCTTTTCTAAGCTTCTTTCCTTCTTAAGTAGACTAAACTAAGAAATTAAGACCGTGGCCAGGTTGTCCACAAGACAGGCTGCTTTAATGAAAACCTTTAGGACTTCTCTTGTAAAACTGTTGTCCTTGTGTATTATTATAAGATAGGGAAAATCTCTACCATTTGTCAGCATAAGACAACAGAAAAACGGTCCAGAGAGTAAAATTTAATTTCTTTGTTACGCTAGGTCGACACTGCAATTGTGCACCATATCTACTGTAATTTTCAAATGATCAATTCTAGGAATGTCAATGTGTAAACAACTACCATGATTAACTGATAAGCCTGGTCTTATTGGTTAATCCTGTTGACTACATTCATTCTCCCCCCTCCTCCCCTTCTTGCTGCCTCTGTGTCAGAGGCAGTAGAGAGGAGAACAAAGGGAGAGGCAGAAGCCATGGAGGGTGAGGGGAGCAGGTAGGAGCCGATATGAGCAGGAAGCCAGGTTTTAAGTTGGCTTTCCACATATGTTGGCTATGTGGACCTGCCTCCCTCTCCCCCTACAGAGGCAGCAGGGGGCACAAGCAGGAATTTGTGCTGGGGAACGCGGCTTAAAAGCTGGCTCCCCCTGGCTCTATGAAGCCACTTCTCCTCTCCCCCACAGCCAGGGCTCTCCGCATACAGAGGCTGCTCCACGATAACAGCCCCTTCCTCTGGGGGTCTGGATTCCCTGCAGACCAGGACTGCTCCAGCATCCCACAGAGCAGTCCCCATCTGCAGAGAGCTCGGGGCCCCCTGCAGATAGGGGCAGTAGGCAGGAGCCTATCTGCTTTTTTAAAAAAAAAAAATCAGCTCCCCTTACAGACCGGCTCTCACCTGCTACCCCACACTGCTGCCTGTGATAGAGTGGCAGCAGCATGGAATGGAAGGAGACTCCTTGAGAGTGAGGCCAGGAGCGCACTGGCTGCCAGCCCCCTTCTGGGTGACTATCAAATAGTCATGTAACTGCCAAAATTTGGTGCGGTTACACGACTAACGAATTACATTCTATCTAATATCCCTAATCAGTTCCATTAACTTTTTTATTATTACAAACTCCTCAGTTAATAAAATAAAGGTTCTGTTGTATGCATTAGTGTAGTATAAAGTGAATAGTGTGCCTTGTTGAGTTAGTTAATTGTAATAAAATATGTAATGATAAATGCAAGTATATGTGGGGAAGTGGTGTTTTTTAATCTTATTCTGAGTCATAAGGGTTTCTTTGTACTAAAAAGATTCTTCAGCTCTTGTTTCTGATTTACCTGTGAATTGTTTTAAATCATGCCGCTTCTTCCTCCCCTTCCCCCCCCCCAAAAAAAAAGAATTTATTTTTCCTTTTAAAAATGTATTTCTTTTGGAAATCTTTGACTCCTAAATGTGGGTTTGTACTGTGCTGTAGATTTTCATCATTCTGCAATAGAAAATGAGTTCCCACATTAGAGGATGGTTTATAGTGTTGATCTCGGCTATTAACTAGAGTTGCTTTTCTGTTCACCTCACAGCTGCTAAATGTTTTGTTTTTGCATCTATTACAGGTGATGGGTAAGTACCGTCATCGTATGAAACATATATACAACTTGATTGGTCAGCTCATGTCAGTTATAACAGAAATATCAGTATTTTCTGCTGATAGAGAAAAATCTGTTGTGTTCTATTAATTTGCCTTTAACTGAGTATGAAGGAATCTACATATTCTGAATCTGTAACTGCCTTGTCGCCTTACATTGATGTCAGCCTACTTTAAAATTTGTAATTTAGTCATAATAATTATAAAATCATGTTACATGTATGGAGTTAAATCTATTTGACATAGTCCATATGAGAAAAGCCCATAGCAAATAATGGCACTTGCCATAATAATTAAAGATTTAGTTCATGTTGGTATTATAAAACCTGATTTTAAGGAGGACTTGCAGCAAGATCATCAGCTATAAGACAGAAGGAGAAGCATTGCCTTTCCTGGGTCTTAGTGCTCAACTGATCCTCTCTTTCTCTCCCTTTTCTGAATCTTCCTGCAGGCTCACACAACAGGCTGTTGCAGACTGGTGAGTTGTCCTCTAGATTACATCTAGAAACTTAAATTAAAAACTTAAACCACAAATAGTCTAGTAGCACTTTAAAGACTAACAAAATATGTAGATGGTATCATGAGCTTTCATGAGCACAGCCCATGTACAGAACCAACATCCAACACTCTGGCCATCTGAAGAAGTGGGCTGTGCTCATGATACCATGTACATATTTTGTTAGTCTTTAAAGTGCTACCAGACTATTGGTTGTTTAAGTTTTTCCTGTTACAGACAAACTTGGCCTACCCTCTGGATCTTTTAAAAGTAAAAAGCCTTCCAGCTTGCTACACCTATTTGCATAACATTTAATCTTTAAAAGAGCCATTAAGTAATACTGAATCTACTTAACAAACAAGCATCTACCAGGTATATACTAGTATTTTCTGAATTTATTGACAGAAATAGTTGTCGTCATCATCAACCACCATGGGCTCAACACTTGTTGGTGTCCAATGCCCCCCTCATTTCCTTTCATCTTTCCCTGTCCAGTGCAAAGTGGCTTAGTTTCTGTAGACTAGCTCTGCTCCAATCTGCTATATCAGAGTTTCCCAACTGATGCTCTGGGAAACCCTAGGGGCACCGCTAGGAGCTGGCACTCCCCCCGCCCCCTGTGAAAGAGAGAGAGCCGGCTAGCCAGCAGAGGCATGGGCAGCGAGTTGTATGGGCTCGTGGTGCCCATGCTCCACCAATATTTGGAACTGGAGTGGGCCCAGAGCATCTCTCCCCTGTCCCCGTCCCTGCTGTGGGCAACCTTCAGTGAGCTTCCCTTTGCTGGCTGCTGCTGCCCTGCACAGCGTGCTCAAACTGGTAGGCGGGGAGATGCCCGGGCATGACGTAATGTCACGGCCCGAGATTTTAAAGCTGCTGGGCGCTGCGTTGCGCTGTATGGCTGAGTTGCGGGTTTGGAGTCCGGGGACGGAGTGCAGACTCCAGCCCCAGAAGGTGGAAGGCAGAAGGTAGGGGAAGGAGAAGGGCTGGGAGAGGAGGGGGGGGTTGTGCGGCAGTTGCGGGTTCGGAGTCCGGGGACGGAGTGCAGACTCCAGCCCCAGAAGGTGGAAGGCAGAAGGTAGGGGAAGGAGAAGGGCTGGGAGAGGAGGGGGGGGTTGTGCGGCGGGGGAGGGGAGAGGAAGGCACCAAAGGGACAGGGTAGAGGAGAGACAAATGCCAGGGGGCCAAGTGCAGACAATGAGGAAAAAGGCAGGAGGGGAGGTATCAGTGGTAGGGGGACAGGGTGATGCTGGGAGGGGAGAGGGTAAAGGCATTGGGGGCTAGAGGGGGGACGGGGAGGTGCTGGGAGAAGGCTTGAAAGATGGGGTGGGCATGAGGGAGGCCGGGATGGAGCAAGTCATGTGTGACGGCACAGGGGCATGAGGGGAACGGGGGCAGAGGTTGGTGAGGGGGTGGGCATCAGGGAAAAAGAGGGCAAGGGAGGCAGGGGCAGTGAGGGAAGGGGGAGGCAACAGGAGGGTGCAGGAGTAAGAGAAGGTGCAAGTGCCAGGGGATTCTGGTGGTGAAGCAGAAGGGCAGACACCTGCAGGGGAGGAACCACCACCAGAAGGGAGAGACAGGGCAGGTTTGTAGAGGGAGGTGTTAGAAGAGGGGATGAGGAGGGGTAGCTCACATGATCAGAGTGGGGCTCCTGGAGGAGTAGGCATAGGGAGGAGAGAAGGGCTGGTGGAGAAGGGGCAGGTTGCAGGAGAACGTCCCTACATCTTTTTATGGCCCTGATTATCCAACTTCTTGAAAGTGAGTTGCCAGACTGTTATGCCTCTGCATGGTTAAAGGTTTAGAAATATTTATTAATAACCTGTGCGCCACAGTGGCACATCCAAACAAGCCACATGAACACAGTACTGGTGCACAACACAATTCATTTTGCTCATGCGAGGAAACTCTTAGGCTGTGTCTACACTGGCGGTTTCTTGTACAAGAACATCTTGCGCAAGAGTTCTTGTGCAAGAACACGTCCACACTGCCATGTGCGAGCTGTGCTTTTGCACAAGAGCATCTATGGCAGTGTGGATGCTCTCTTGCCCGAGAAAGTGCCGATGGCCATTTTAGCCATAGGGCTTTCTTGCGCAAGAAATTCACATTGCCTGTCTACACTGGCCTCTTGCGCAAGAACAGTTGCACAAAAGAGCTTATTCCTGAGCGGGAGCATCATAGTTCTTGCGCAAGAAGCCCTGATTTCATACATGAGAACTCTGTCCCCTGCTCCCACCAGCACATTTGTGACCATATTAGTGAGGCTTGGGGGTCTTTGGAGGGTTGTTGGGTTTTTTTTGCATCTCACTTGTGTTGCCCCAACAGACTTTTCTGTAGGTCAGTGACTTTTGACTCAAAACAGGTTCGTCACCCCTCTCATAAATAAAGACAATGCTAAAACCTTTTGAGTTTGACATAATATTTTATTTAAAAATGAAGCCAGGCCAACAAGCCCCCAATTGGGGCCAAACCCCCATCTCACTGCAGAATTATAACACTCCTGCACCACCTGACCCCAAATCTAAGCCTATCATACACTGGAACCCCCCTGTCCTGAGCTTCTTACATCCCCAAACTCCTGCATCCCCACATCCTCAGTTTTCTGCCACAACTCTCCTGCACCATCCACACATGGCAAATCTGTGTCCTGAGCCCGTCATACTCACAACCTTCTTGCCCTGAGTTCCTCACATATCCAGCCCAAACTCCAGCACCCTCACATCCACAAGCCTGGTGGGCCCCCCCCTCCCTCCCCCCCCCCCCTTTTTTTTCTTGACAAACCTAGGGGTTCCTTGAAATTCTGAAAAGGGTTCCTCGGCCAAATAAAATTGGGAAACACTGTAATGTATCATCTACCCATTCTCTGTGGGGTCTGCCTCAAAGGGGCAGCTGAATGAGCCTGGGGTCAGCCGAGGACTCCAGCTGTTCCCGGGCTCCCGCAATGCTGCCCTTTTGAAACACCGCTGCAGCATTTCAAAGGGGCACCGCACGCGATTAATCACGCAATTAACTGCAATTAATTTTTTAATCTCTTGACAGCACTAGTACAAAACTTGCTTTCAAAGTCTTCCTGTCCTTTTTGTCCTTTCATCTCTCCCTCCCCCCAACCGAATGGAAGAGAGACCTTAAACTAAGGAACAGCATCCCTTTTCTTTCCTATATCTGGTTGTAAGAGTACCCTCCACCAAAATCAATGCTTTAGTTAGATATAATATCCTTTGTTATGTTTAAAATCTTTGGAAACCTTTTTAGCATAAACTTAGTGTGATATTTCATAAACATGTCTATTGTTGTGGACATCACACAATAAATTAGTGTTCCCTTTTTCTAAAAGCACTGTACATTATGAGCGCACTAAACCACTTTGATCAGTTTAAAATAATATTTTTGTTTTGGTGCATTAAATATGTGGTAATTTGGAATGATTACTTTATGAAGACTTAAGAATACATTTAAAATAATGAATCCACTTAGAAATATTAAGAAAATGTAAGAGTATTGCATCGTATATTCTGTAATATGCAATGTTGTATTCAGCAAGACAACTGACTTGCCCTTACTACAAAGTTTTTGGAAATAAATGTCTGACAAACTTCAGAGTATATCAAAAAACCCATGACTGACATTATTTATTCCTAGAATTTAAAAAAAAAAAATCTGGCATACAGTGGAAAAAATGCTCCAGGATGCCACTTAGGAATTAGAAGTATTCAGTAACAGCAATTGTGTTTAAATAATTTGCTTAAACCTTACAAGAAGGGTGAGGGGGGAAACAGGGAATATTAGGGGTTTTACATATAGTCAATTACACAATTAACCAATAAGCTTGGGATTACTGGTTAATCGTATTGTCTATACACAACTCCCCCCGGCCCCTTCCCGATCCCCCTTTATCAAAGGCAGCAAGCGGGAGAGGTGGGAGTTGGTGCCCATCCCCGTGTGTGCTGGCTCCCGTAGAGCCACCTACCCCCCTCTACTTCCACCCTACCACTGCTTCCCACAGAGGCAGCAGCATGGGGACAGACAAGAGACAAATATTAAGCCAGCTCTCTGTGCATGATGGCTTCTGCAGAGCCACCTGTCCCCTTTGCTGCCTCCCACAGAGGCAGAAGTGCGGGGAGGTGGGCTCCCATCTGTGCCCACATCCCAGTGCTGCTGCCTCTGTGGGGGGGGCGGGGGGGGGGAGTACC